TTTCTCCATTTTTATTATTATTTTCGTGTGGAAATTACTGGGGGCGATTCTCAGCTGTTTGAGTCTGGCCTTGATTATGTCGTAAGAATACACAAATTTACCTTTGCAAAGATGTTTTTTTGTCTAAAATCCTAACAATTTACTCAAAGAGGTCTTGAAAAGAGATCCTTTTAGTGACATTTGGTATCCAAAATGTTACATATATTTGTAGAAGGGTATTTTAAAGCTTCAAGATTCTCAATTCTGATCATAGAATCAGGAAAGATTTTCACCTTATCACTTATCATTTTGAGTTCATGCATTGGTCTCCTCGAAATCAGTGACGTTTTGAAAAGAGCTGCTTAAAATTCCAAGTTGCAAAGACCCAAAAACTATAGTTGAGGTTAGGAAAACCAGCGCTTTTGGTTTGAAATGTCAGGCGCATGTCACCGTTGAGAGCCATTTATCAGAAGATTCAAGGGCACTTTATGAGACTAAACATAAATTCGGAGGAAGTATTTATTCTATGTAAGGTTCAAAATCATTAAAATATAAATTAAGTCATAAAAACAATTAAAGTTATCCAATTTATTCAATTAATTATATAAATGGAGAAAATAGAAATCCAAATACATTACTACAAATGAGCAAATTATGTGCTAAATACAATTTAGAATTGACTATGCCTAAATGAGATTGATTGATCACTAGAATTGTGTTGAGATTTATGGAAAGAAGAAAGTTTGACAAAGGTTGTTGTATTTTTCTCATGAGACTGTGGTACGCCGTTCATTTTATAAATTTCGTAAGAATTGGAGGGAGGTGATGGCCATTGCGGTAAGTGAGCTTTGTTTTCAGTTCTGCCTTTTATTGATGTGAACCAAGGCAAATTTTCAGAGGGAGATTGAAAGTCAGATCTGGAAAATGAGTGGAAGAAAAAATGACAGAAGAATAAAAAAAGACAACAAAGTATCAGAATCAAACTGGAGATATATCCAAGCGATCAACCGAAAAACTGGATTACAAAAATAGATTGGACGAACGAACAAGTAGACCACAAAAAACAAATAAAATGAGTGTATAAATCGAGACATTAATGGAAAGAACTGGTCAAAAGATACAATAAAAAAGAAACATAAAATACAAGCATACATTGCGCCAACACAAAGTTACACAAAAGGACCCCCTCCCCCTCGCAATATAAATACAGCAGCCCCCGCCGGCCCAAGAAAATCAAAAAAAAAAAATGAAACCCCACCTCGCTCGCTCCCTAGGCCCTGCGCCAGCCGGAGTGCCGCGCCACACGTAGCCCCGCGCCGCCTGCCGGCCCTGAAGCGTCGCGCGCGCGGCCCTAAACCTCCACGTATTTGTTCGCCCAAACTCCACGCCAGCACCCTCGTACTACTCGCACGAACCCCCACGGATTCCCCGAACACCCCTTTTTACGCCCCCTCTGCCTCAATGACGCTGCAACTTTCAGCCAAAATCAAAAATGTCTTGAGCGGTGACACCGTCGTGTTGGTGCCCGTCAAAAGCACCCAGGTCCCCGTGCCAGAGCGCATACTCACGCTCCAGTATGTGCGGGCAGATTCTTTCCAGGCGAAGGAGTACTTGCGCCAGTTAGCCTGCGGTAAAACCGTTCGGTTTTCGGTGTTGTTCAAAATCCCCGCTACCGGCAAGGAATTTGGCGATGTGCACGCGCCCGTTTTCGAGTCGCTAATCGACCATATGGTGGAGCGCGGTTGGGCCAAGTTGAAGGACAACGTACGCGCCGACTCGGACGCCGACGAGGCCCATGTGGCACGCTTGCGCGTGCTTCAAGAAAATGCGCAGAAGAAGCAATCCGGCGTGTGGGCGCCAGGCTTTTGTGAGCCAGCCGTGGTGCCGTTGACACCCGCCATCATTGCCAGGTCCACGAAAAACCCTTTGTCTGCCATTGTCGAACGCGTGGTCAGCGGCGACCGTATCTTGGCGCGTGTGCTTGTCAACAAAGACCAACATGTGCAGCAACCGCTCCTTGTGGCCGGATACCGCTCGCCACGCACGGACGATGCGGACCCGCAACAGGCCAAACTCGGCCAGCAGGCCAAGGCATTTCTTGAGGAAGCTCTCGTGGCATCACGTGCCACCATCCGCGTCTCTTTTGTCGGCGAGAATCAGACCGGCGTTCCGCTTGTTGTGATCCATCACCCTGCGGGCGCCAGCGTGCACGAGAAGATCTTAGAGAATGGCTTGGGCGAGGTCGTGGACTGGCAGCTGTCACTCCTTGGTGCAACCACAATGGCTGGGCTCCGCAAGCTGGAGCAGACTGCGCGGGCCTTGGGCAGGGGCATATATGCCGCGGCCGCGGGCGTGAAACCGGCGGTCTCGGGCACCAAGATCGGCGCCGCATCTGCCAAGAATTTGGGCCCGGGCTCGACTGTCGACAACGTGACCATTGCCAAGGTCATAAACGCCGACACACTCGCTGTGCGCTTGCCTGCGGGCGACGAGCTCACCGTGCAATTGGCATCCTTGCGCGCGCCCCGGCCCAACGACACCACAGTCACGAAAAACGCCCAGCAGCAACAGGCCCTCGTTCAAATGGCCCGCGAGTTTGTGCGTACTCATGCCATCGGCAAGACCGCGGTCATGCGGGTGGATGGGCTCCGCGAGGCCAACAAGGATTTGGGCTTGGATGCGCGGCTCTTGGTATCGCTCCTGATCTCCGGCAAAGACCTCTCCGAAACGCTCGTGTCGAGCGGATATGCCACCGTCGTCAAGCACAACAAGCAAACAGCGCATGAGCGCTCGCTGAACTGGGACCGCTTGGTGGAGTTGGAGGAGAAGCAGAAGAGTGAGGGTAAGCGTGGTGTGTTTTACACGGGCGACTTGGCCAAGATCTTGACTATTGACACGCGTGTGGTAAACGCTTCCGAGAACCTTGCCAAGGCGCGCACCTTCTTCAACGGATTTAACAAAAAGGGCCGCGTGTCGGGATTCTATGTTGAGTACGTGTCTTCCGCCACTAGGGTGAAGCTCTACAACCCTAGAGAGGGCACTAAGTTGACCTTACTCTTGGGCGGGCTTGCCAACGATAGATCTGCTGACGCCGGCTCGGCCGCGCTCGCGTACATGAACCGCAAGTATTTGCAGAGGAATGTCGAATTTGAGGTCTATGACACGGACAAAGTGGGCGGCTTCGTTGGCAACTTGTATTCCAGCGCCAAAGCCTTGAAGCCTGCACAAGTAGAGTTGCTTTCTGCTGGCCTCGCTTCAGTCCACGGCCTTGCTGTGTCTTCCAACCCCTTCGAGACTGAACTTGTTGCCGCCGAAAACTCCGCGAAGGCAGCCCACAAAGGCATCTGGGAGAATTATGACGAGGCACAGGTGCAGAAGGATGCCGAGCTTGCGCGCTCTAAGATGGCCTTGCTCGGCTTAGAGGCTGCTACGCCCAAGTTCTTCGATATTGAGATCGTCGACGTCGGCCGGACCCAGGTGCTCTCGTTCCACTTCATCGACGCCAAGACGAGCGCTGAGTTTGCGCAGTTCAAGAAAAGTTTCAACGATTTTCACGCACAGAATGTTAGTGCAAGCACCACTTCTGTTGACTTGCCAAGTTCTTTGAGCAAGGGCCCCAAGAAAAACGACATCGTTTCTGCAAAGTTCTCTGAAAACGGCAAGTACTATCGTGCCCGTGTCATCAACTACGATCGGGGTAGCAACAAGTACGACGTTAAGCACGTCGATTTCGGTAACGTGGACCAAGTACCTTTGTCGTCGTTAAGGGGCTTGCCCAAGAAGTTTGCCTTGGACGTCATCAAGCCTTTCGCTCACACGTGCAAGTTGCAAAACATCGACTTGCCTCCAAATAAGCCTAAGGATTATTTGACTGACGCTTTGTATGTCTTGGAGGACTTGACATTCGACAAAAAGTTGGTGCTCAGCGGTCTTCCTTCATCCACCGAGGGCGTGGAATATGACGCCGTCTTGTATGACTCCGAGCAATCTTTGACTAATCCTGACTACACTATCAATAAGCAACTTGTTTTGGAGGGTTATGGCATGGTTGAGGTCAAGTGCGCCCCACACTTGAAAGCCTATGTTGACGAATTGGTTGTGGCAGAGAGGAAGGCAAAGAGCGATAGAGTGGGTTGCTGGGAGCTTGGTGACATAAGAGCCGAGGAAGACTTCTGATTGACAAAGCTACGTGTTTTTCCCACACCAAAAGGATACATTATTTTGAGAAATATAGTGGCGAGATGCCCAAGAATACAGCTAGGGCTGAGGATACCAAAAAAGTCAAAGAGGTAAGGTGTAGGGACGCCACCCAGTAATAAAGGACTTGCAAAGATTATTTGTAAGTCACTTTTGTAAGGTTACACATGTGATGTTCCAGTAACAAGGCTTCAAAAAAAAAAAAGACTCGAATTTGGTTTTTGAAATGTTGTGCTTTGAAAATGATTACTCAAAATTCGAAAGGTGAAATAGGAGCCATCTCAGCCCAAGGAATATTCAGTTCATTGAGATTTCGATTTCACTCCCATAGTTTGTGATAGTCGATCAATCTGGTCTGTTAATAAAGAATTTATCTTGAAGTAACTTTGCGATGGCAGTTTGCCTTCCAGCCCGGTCCTT